GAATCAACAAAAAAAACGGTTCGGGAAAAGAGTTCTGCAGGCCCGAGTTAGACCGCTTTTTGTCCAAACCGCCCTTATATTTAGAATCGGGGGAAGTATTTATTTTGGCGACAGTCCCCCCATTTTTCGGGGTGAGACGTGTACAGCAGCGGCTACGGTTTAAGAGAGGGTCGGTACAAGCCAATTTCACTCTCTTAAATCCGGCTTTCTGTTATATCGTGTTGGCTACGGTATAAGAGAGAATTCTCTTAAACNACAAAACTAAAGGTCGTGAAACAGGGACTCTCGCGCACTGACTACACTCGAATGCCAAAATAGGTCATGAAGAGAGCGTATCATGCATGTCACTTGCGCAGCTAGCGTTACCACGTCGGGCTACCTCCAAACACCGCTCATTCTCTTGGTTGGCAAGCACGTGGACCCAAGTACTGCTGTACGTGGTGCGCTTTTGGTGGATCTGCGTTCGGAAAATAAATCATCGTTGTGTGATGCGATGCACATTTTGCACGTGGACACGTAAAAGGTTTTTGGTTGAGTTGTTTTATAGCTGTGTTTCATAGTCGCACCTCTTCTAGAAGGACAACACGAGGCAACGAATGCACCAGCACTCAAGAACGACGCACCCGTTTACACAATGCACCCCTTCCTCCCACCGTACCCTCAACATAACACCCTCATACCTCTCATCCCATCGATTTAAACCCCCGACAAAAACACAAGTCAACCAAAAAAAAAGAGCTTCACAATATCAAAACATCACTCGCCGTACAAATAACACAAACCCAAGAAACCAACGGGAGGACAGGCAGTTGTGGCAGATGCGATGCATCTCGGAGGTGCCCTGAGGGTCCACCACACCACAAGTGCCATGGAGGTACTGCGCGCAGACTCCGCTACATTGGTGATTTGTGAACGCCGGCGGGCCTGGCGTGTGATCGGGGACAGCCGTGCAGCGACTGCCCGCCGCGCAGGGCATAGTGTCTGCAGCTGTGTGGGTGTGTGATGTGTGTGTGTGTCCACGTGGTTTCCATATTGTTCGATTTAAGAGAAAAATCCCGCTGCAATAGGAAATTTCTTGTAAATCGATTTTGATTGGTACAAGCCAATTAGGCCTGTCCTCCATCGGCCGTTTTGCTTGTATGACGGAGAATAAGAAGGTGGAATTACTTGAAATTAGTATAGAAATAAAGTTTGTGTATCTGAATCGAAAATAAAACGGCCGATGGAGGACAGGCCTGAAGCCAATTCCTCTCTCTTAAATCCGTACTTTCTCTTAAATAAGTTCTCTTAAACCGTAGCCGCTGCTGTACTGCACTTTTCAGCGTATGTAGAGTAGGACACTTTTCAGTGTATTTCTTCGTACAACTACAACCATCCAGGGTCACACAGGAGGGGGTAAACACCAGGGCTTTTCCTTCTCTTTTTATTTTTTTCTTGCCCCACCTTCCTCCAGCGGTGCGTGCTGAATTCTATTTTTATCGCGAGAAGGGTCCAGACGTCTCTTTCCTTCGTCAACGGTGCTAAGGCCGTTTCTTACGGTTTGAAAAATTCCAGTTGAAAAATTGAAATTTCTTTTCCCAGCCGAACAGAGCTGCTTACGGTTTGGAAAATCGATTTTTTTTGAGAAAAAAGTTCTCAACTCGGGCCAAAAAAAATGGAAACGCTCTGCGCAGTTGAAAGTTTCAGAAACAAGTCGCGACCGAGTTGAAAAAGCTAGTTGGAAATCCAAACCTAGAGGGGGGGGTGCATCACACAGACCCCCCACCACACCTGCTTTGGTCGCTGGAAGCACCCGAGAGTGCACAAAAGCGCACCACAAAGCAGCACGGCACAGCACAGCACAGCACAGCGCGACAGCCTAGCACAGCGCCTCACACGCGCAGACCCGGTGCTTTGTTGTCAGCGCGGTGCGCCCGATACGGGGACCGGCGACGATCTGTTGGAAGCAACAGTGCTGTCAGTCGCGTTGGCGGCTTTGCACCAGATCCAAGAGGAGGATGGTCGCCGGCGCACAGCACGCTCGGTATCCTATTGGGATGCTGTGCTGTTCGACGAGGATTCGGAGGACGAGGAGGAAGTCGTCGGCCCGAAGGTTAAGAGGACAGGACGCGTCACGCAGCGGAGGGATCGGCGAACCTCTGCCTGGTGGGAGCAGCTTCAGGATGTCGACCTCGCCGACCACACTACGGCCGCTGCATAAGTGTTTCGAGAGCGCTTTCGTGTACCTTACCCCTTCTTTCAAGAACTGGTCAAGCTGGCAAGGGCGAAGCGGTGGTTTTCGCCGGGGGAGAAGGATGCAGCTAACCGTGAAGGAATACCACTCGAACTGAAGGTACGCACGTCTACCCGTGTGTGCGAACCTCCTACTGCACGCCTGTCGCCTGACGTAAAGAGTAGAGGAACAAGGAGGGTCCATGTCTACGGCAGCAACACTGTAGCTGGGGTTAGTAGACGGAACGCCTACTTGCTGCAGTACCCAAACACTTCTGCATGCGGTAGACGAGGCAAGACTAGGGAGATCAAGCCTCGCGCCTTCCTTTAGACTAGTCTATGCTGAAACTCTGTACAGTTTCAGGTGTCTTGTGTGCCAACAGAAACACCAAAATCTCTGTATTGACCGCATCAGAGCTTCGGATGTGCCGGGGAGGTTCGTTCTTAGATTTCCTGTTTTATTTTCTGATATTGTACTTCGTGAACATCCTACAGTGTCCGTTCCACGTTAAGTTCGTTGTACATAGTCTAGTGCCCCCCCCAGTCGCTCTCTCTCTATATATATATATATATCTATCTTTGTCTGTCTCTCTCTCTCTCTCTCTTTATCTTCCGTAGTGCAACCAAGGGTAGCAAGGTTGCCGATGCAGAGTGTTGCAGCGCCCCTGCTGTTGGTATACGTAACTTGATTTTGAATCACAACGTTGGGGAAAACGCAATGGCCCGCGTGCTTGTTTACAGCTGGACCGCATGTTTGCCTCTCTTGTGGTGTCCTTCCCGGGGTGGTCGGGGCGTTGAGTGTACTGGTTGGCACCAACAGTGCTGGCCTCCTTGTATGCAAGCGGTATCTCACCGCTCCCTTCTTGCCCCCCTTCCGCAAACATGTGCAACACTCCATTTTTGTCCAGGNTGTTTACAGCTGGACCGCATGTTTGCCTCTCTTGTGGTGTCCTTCCCGGGGTGGTCGGGGCGTTGAGTGTACTGGTTGGCACCAACAGTGCTGGCCTCCTTGTATGCAAGCGGTATCTCACCGCTCCCTTCTTGCCCCCCTTCCGCAAACATGTGCAACACTCCATTTTTGTCCAGGTATTGGCGGCTCTGCAGGTGCTCGGCAAGGGCAACTGCTTCGACGACGTAGAGCAGCTGTCGAAGATGAGCATATCGATGGCACAAGCTACGTTCCACAAGTTCTGCCGTCACTTTGCGGCGGAGATGTTCGACGAGCACATCTTCTCCCCGACCGAGACGTACCTGGACGAATTTATGGGGATCTTTCACCAACTAGGGTGTACGGGAGCGTGTCGGTCCACGGATGTCACCCACATTGACTGCAACATGTGCCCCTTCACCCTTGGCCGTTCTTTCACGGGCAAGGAGGGGTTTCCAACCATCGCCTACGAGGTTACGGTCGACCACGCTTCACGCGCTTTAGCCGTTACCAACGGCTTCACCGGTGCGATGAATGACAAGACGGTCATCTGGTACGACTCGGGAGTCAACGACATCAGAACAGAGAGCCAGTATACGGAACGGCAGTACAAACTTCGCAAGGCGAACGGCACGGAGCGAACGCGCCGCGGATGCTTCTCGATCGTGGACAACGGGTACCACGAGGTAAGTCGGTGTTGCTTTGATGGGTCTTCAAATGTTATTGGCAATTTATTGTAGTCGCTGCGTTTTCAGACGCTCGGGATCTTTTTCACATGTTCTTGTTGCCCCCGTTACACGTGTGAGAACACGCACACACATGAGTGTGCGCATCAAAGTCGGCTCCCAATAAACCCTGACATCCTCGTTCACGCTGAGGCTTTCGTATCACAGGATGTCCGTCCCCAGGTAGTTATATGTAGTCCACCACAAGAATATCGTGAGAAAGCTCCCTTCGAGCGAAAGGGTGCTGATTTGGGTGCGGAATATCTGAAAGCCATGCACAATAAAATGGGGCTTAGCATACATGGCAGACGCAGAGGGTTTGGAGCAACACTACAGCCTATCTTGTTGCACAAACTTCGAAGTACGTGCCGGTAGTGCACAGAGAGTTTCTTTCACTTGTGAGCCGTACTCGCTTAAACTACTGACCGTTCACGTTTTTCGTTCGTTCGGCCCCTGTGTTTTGTCTATTTTGCGTGTACACCAATGGGTAACCCTCATCGCCCCGTCCAAGTACCGGCAGAGCAACGAGGGTACAGCCTTCTCAATGCATCTTGAGAGTGTGTGAAAGGATGTGGAGTGCTTCTTTGGGATTCTGAAGGGCCGCTTCAGAATCCTCAAGCTCCGCATGCCATACCATAAACGAGAATACATCGACAACATATTCTTCACATGCTGCATCCGGCACAACATGCTCCACACGTTCGACGGCCTGGACTTATTCGAGGAAAACACGGACTGGACAGGGAGCGCTGGGCACCACGACGCCTGGGAGCGTGACCCGCTCATGGACTACACTTCTGTTGGGTCGAAGGGAGTGCTGCTGCCACCGAAGGATGGGGAAAAGGAAGAGCGTGGGGAGGGGGGGCACGTGAGAAAGGAGCGGCAGGACCATGCAGAGTTGAAGAAACAGCTAATCGAGAGTTTTGATCAACATCACCTGGTTGTCGAGTCCCAAGTAAAGAGTTTATGCATGTGTTTGTTCGAATTTGCCTTCATTTNGGAAAACACGGACTGGACAGGGAGCGCTGGGCACCACGACGCCTGGGAGCGTGACCCGCTCATGGACTACACTTCTGTTGGGTCGAAGGGAGTGCTGCTGCCACCGAAGGATGGGGAAAAGGAAGAGCGTGGGGAGGGGGGGCACGTGAGAAAGGAGCGGCAGGACCATGCAGAGTTGAAGAAACAGCTAATCGAGAGTTTTGATCAACGACATCACCTGGTTGTCGAGTCCCAAGTAAAGAGTTTATGCATGTGTTTGTTCGAATTTGCCTTCATTTCGACTCGGTGTCATGGGGTTGTATGGTTGCACCGGTTGGGCAGAGCATAAACCATGCAACCCCATGGTGATTCATGGTCTACCGTTGTAGGTTACATTTGGACACGACATCGGCGGCGTTTTTCGTCTTTATTTTTTGGGGCCTTCCGGGTAGATAGTCACTAAAAAAAATAATCCGAGGGAGCCAAGCAAGGCATCGTCGCAGTTAAAGGCTGTTCAGGGCATTTGTTGTTTCTTCTGTAACGGCACGAACCCCTTCGAAGTTTTTGGCGCTAGAACAGTCGTTCGCCTCACCAACCCTCGACAAAGTATTCCTACCGTTGATGCTTGGCCGAGCGGGGTTGCAGCTAGAAAACATTTCGAAACATGTGTTGTTGCACTCACGCAGACACTGTTTGAATGAGTACAGATTTTTCACGCATCCAGGCTGTTACCTAAAAAGGAAGCTGCTCCCCCCCCCGAAACTTGCACCAAGCACACACATGGACGCTGTTGAATTGGCCGAGGTTTTCACGCACCCGGGTTGATGGTGACAATCCTCCCCCCCAAGAATGGACCAAGCACACACATGGACGCTGTTGACTTGGTCGAGATTTTCACGCATCGGGTTGTTGGTGCCAAACCCCTCCCCCCGGGCGATGTTGGACCCTTCATATCCCTGGCGTCATGTCACGGCTAAACGACAAGGAATCACGGCGAAAAGCACGAGAAAAACAGCCAAGGTTATAGCCAAACAGACTCAGTTGCCTCCAACCCTGATGGCGCCTGCCTCGGCGCCCGATGCTCTCGCAACCGCCGTGGCATCACCCGTTGCTGCTGCATGGGCGAGCCCTACGTTGCCGCTGAAACCTGGCAAGCCAGAACCTCCAACGCCCGTCCCACCGCCGACCGAAGCGACTGCAGCACCCGCTTCAGCATCGCCAATCACACTCAAAGGGAGGGANGCATCACCCGTTGCTGCTGCATGGGCGAGCCCTACGTTGCCGCTGAAACCTGGCAAGCCAGAACCTCCAACGCCCGTCCCACCGCCGACCGAAGCGACTGCAGCACCCGCTTCAGCATCGCCAATCACACTCAAAGGGGGGGATGCGGCACTAGCGAGGTCAACGGGGGGAAGCGGCTCGACAGCCGCACAGGGCGGGTTATCATACAGATATTCAAGCTCGGCCTCAAGCGCAAGATAATCCTCTGCTTCCTTGCCCCGCTTCTCCCACAACTTGAGCTTCCTCTCCTTCCCGTCTATCGTCTGCATGTGACGCTGACCCGCCGCCTCCTCCTCGTTGAGGCGCCCTTTGGCCACGACCGCCTTGGTGAGCACCGCCACGCTCGCTTAAAGCTCTCTTGCGGACTTGGATTCTGGTTGGGGGGCTGTTGCGTTCTCCACCAACTTGCGTCTCCAGTCCTGCATTTCCTTCTCCTTCTTCGCCTTCGAATTCTGAGCATGCACCTCTTGTTTTAATTTTTCTTGGCTGGCGAAACCACCGATGCCCCCGGCCCCGNCAAGCTCGGCCTCAAGCGCAAGATAATCCTCTGCTTCCTTGCCCCGCTTCTCCCACAACTTGAGCTTCCTCTCCTTCCCGTCTATCGTCTGCATGTGACGCTGACCCGCCGCCTCCTCCTCGTTGAGGCGCCCTTTGGCCACGACCGCCTTGGTGAGCACCGCCACGCTCGCTTAAAGCTCTCTTGCGGACTTGGATTCTGGTTGGGGGGCTGTTGCGTTCTCCACCAACTTGCGTCTCCAGTCCTGCATTTCCTTCTCCTTCTTCGCCTTCGAATTCTGAGCAAACACCTCTTGTTTTAATTTTCCTTGGCTGGCGAAACCACCGATGCCCCCGGCCCCATCCATTGTCTGAAGACCGCGCTTGCCCAAGGGGCCGTTTCTGGTGTCGCTTGTCTCCTCGTCCGACGTCCTAGAAGGAGTCGGCGACGCAAAGTGGGCGCGACGCCCCTGCTTCCCGGGGCCGATAGATATGGCCACCTTGAGGTCAACGTCCTCATGCTTGCCCGCGGGACGGCCTAACAACGCGAAGACAAGGCTGTAACTGTGAACCCATCTTGATGGCCTCGCCAACTTATCGTCGTCTTCGGCGTCCTCCGGTGCTTCCCCCCCCTCCCCCCCCTTCTCCTGCTTAATGCTGGGGTGTTTTTCAGCCGCCATGGTCAACGCCGCTCGTTTCGCCATCCAATTGGGGCGATCAGCCGAATCCGCCGCGGGTTCAGGCCCCAAGGCACCAATCTTCGCTTCTAGCTCTGCTGCTCGAGTGTCTGGCGCCGGTGTCGACGCTACCTCGCCGTTGGCTCTTTTCTCAGCTTCCCGCGCGGCCGTCTGGGAGGCCACCCACCTCACCGCGGCCGCGGACTCGACCGTAGTGGACGCGGCCGCGGACTCGACCGGATAACCCTCTTCTTCGTCATATTTCGCCTTCCCCTCGTCCGCCCCCCCGCCCGCGCCGTCCAAGACTACGGGTGAATTCTTGTTCTTCGCGTTGGCTGCTTTCTTCTCGGTGGCCCTTTTAGCGTTGTTTTTTTCGACGATGTAGAGCTGGTCTTGTGAAGTTGGCACCACTGGTCTGGGGGCTGCTCTCCTGACGGGAGCTTCTCGTCCGGCCCCAAAAGGCTAGATTACACACAAGGGCCGGGGGGCATTGGCCAAGAATAATTTGAAAAGGTCTGACATGTCCTTAGTTCGTTATCATTTCCAGATGTGTCACGGAATTTTGGCCATGATGGCTGTGATGAGGAATTGGTGCACACGGGCGTAANCAGATGTGTCACGGAATTTTGGCCATGATCGCTGTGATGAGGAATTGGTGAACACGGGCGTAAACATGCCGCTCTCGAATATCAGAAAACTTCCTTCCTGCTGATACTTGACTTGCTTCTTGTGGATACTCTGTCGTTACCCAATGTCTAAAACCACATCATCTCGGTCAACACGAACAGCAATCGTCTCATAGGCACTGTAGTGCAATATTTTTGGTTTCGTTGTCGGTGCATCTAGGTTCGGTCGTCAGAAACTGGGATGTAGTAGGTGACACACTCGCAGCGCAATTTAGGAGAGGAGACCCTGGCCCGTCGTACAGCAGTGTATGTCTCCTTCACCCCTACCTACAAGCCTTTCAGACAAAAAGCGGGTCTGTGCGCTGAAAAACAGTCTGTCTGGGCTGATGCTGGTAAAATACACCGAGTGCAGAAACAGCGAAGGTGCCGTCAAATGCTTCGGGACATGCGCCCAGGGCAAGAGAGCGGGGCAAGAAGCAATGTCAAAACAAGGGCTCACCTGTCCCAGATGTGATTGAAGTCTCTCCGGATCTCACGAGCAGCTTGCAGATACTTGGGCCACAAATCGGTCTGGGTGTATAACTTCACCTCTGCGCGGAAGTCCAGCAGAGACACAGCCGCGGGGAGGGTACGTTTGATCTTTTCATTCGTACCTCAGGTCTGCGCGACAACAGATCAGACTACTGCTGTTGACTGAGCCGCGCCAGCCAGTCGTGTTGTTACGGGCACCACACGCCGTAGACTGGGTCGCGCCGTTAAATTCATGTCTCAGGTCTACGCAATCGCAGATAGAATACTATTGCTGTAGAGTGAACCCGCCTCCTATTGAACTCCATTCGTGTTGTTGTGGACACAACTCTCAGCGCAAAATAATTGTAGTATCTATTGCTGCGTGTTTCTTATTGATTGGCGTCCTCCAAGTCGGTCCCGCCCGGAGATTCATCGCAGCCTGTAGTAGTGCTGCAGTGTGAGAGTTTCAAAGACGACAGGTACGTTCTGCATGAGACTGCGGGAACATGATCCTCATGTGTGTGTGTGCTGCCCGCCGACCGACCTTTTCCAAANATACTATTGCTGTAGAGTGAACCCGCCTCCTATTGAACTCCATTCGTGTTGTTGTGGACACAACTCTCAGCGCAAAATAATTGTAGTATCTACTGCTGCGTGTTTCTTATTGATTGGCGTCCTCCAAGTCGGTCCCGCCCGGAGATTCATCGCAGCCTGTAGTAGTGCTGCAGTGTGAGAGTTTCAAAGACGACAGGTACGTTCTGCATGAGACTGCGGGAACATGATCCTCATGTGTGTGTGTGCTGCCCGCCGACCGGCCTTTTCCAAAAATTCAAACAAGCTCACGTTTGTCGTTCATTGTCGATCCGCCCATGATGTCCTTGGTCAACCACGTGGGCATCTCGACCTGAAGTACATCCTTGAGGTACCTCAGCAAGGCTTGCACGGTGAAGCTTCGGTAGTTCTCCCTTGTGCATTTCTCTCTGCCCTCCTTTCCCATGGAGCCGTTCGCGCGCTTGATCACGGAGCACGCGAACCAGATGGCCGCGTTCTGAAGGATGTTCACGTTTTTGGCTTCCGCCTTGTCGCAACCGAGTATCGACCGCAGCAGCGCATTGGAGTAGTTGTTCGCGCCTTGCAGCAGCAGTGGTCCCACTAGCGGCATGATGTTGCGTCGTCTGGCGGGGG